CAAGCCTAGTTGTTTGCTGAAGAATATTAAGTCATTCATGTTGAATTGAAATTTATTATGCTTATCAAGATATTCATTTCTCAAACTGTAAAAATTCGATACTTATGTATTAACATTTTTACGGCTAACAAAGCATACTATAATAACAAACGTCTTCTATATAGTATGCCGTATTTGCCTACATAACCAAACATGATATCATTAAAAAATTTCGTACAATAATCACAAAGGTCAATGCTAAATATTATGTTCAAGTTAATGTATTGTTTGTACGCTAAGTAGAGGATTCGTAGGAACTAAAGCACCGCCCAGTTAAACAGTTCATAAAGGCAACTATTTTTTACTCTACTAAAGCTATAGTGTGTAGTGTAAGCTTAATTTGGATTTTGAGACCCTTCAGTTTTGTGAGCCGATGAATCTAGACACAAATGCTGATCATAGAACCGTTAGATTTCAATAAGTAGCTTGTAGAGTTGAATCCATAGTTTGATCTGACTCCAAAAGCTTTCGTTCTGTATTACCTCATAAATCTTTGCAATATGAAAGTTAGTTGGGGTTAAGTTTCTGTATCCTACTGTTCATATAATATTTACGTATTAAATCATCAAACTTAAACCATGGACATTTTAAGTAATTACCCTTGTCTAGGTAAACTAGTGAATATTCTACTTACACATCTACATGACAACGAGTCATTGCCAGAATGTCCAATATAAATGAAACCTAAATTAAATCTTCCACTGAAAAAATAGGGAGGTTTTGATGTTGGACGTTTTATCCTATCGTACAACTGACGAACTACCGATATATGTTGCTTGGTTTCTATAAATGAACTAAATTGATCTGTTACACTTCATGCGACAGAAATATTATTTTTATGTTTTTGTCATACAACAAACTATCTAAAGTCATAAGTCTCTGTCTAGAATTTTGCAAACCCGAAAAAGCTCGTCGATAATTTCAATCTATGGACCTAAAATCAATTAATGTACTACGGTGACAACATCGTTCGTTTAGTTATCACTTCTTATAGAAGTACTTTCAAGATTATATCTACTTCAACAACAAGATTAGTGTAAAGAAGATTAAGAAATACTTTAGTTTAAGAGGCTTGTCTCTCATAAGATCTAGTCCCAGTTATGGAGAACTGCTAGACATCCACAATGGGAATAAACGTAGGCGTGACTGGAATATTTATTCAATTAACCGATTCCTAAAACTCATTTTAAATCAACGAAATGTAACTCTTGTTTTCGATCAACACCACGTGAGTTGACGCTAGAATACTAGAAATTCAGTAACTAGAATGCTTAGTCTCATTATTTCTTTACTATCATCAGCCATTATTTGTCAACTAATAATTTATATCTATGGAACCTTTTGCATGTGACTAATCGAGCATCTCTTTGAAAAGATTACGCATGTATGGATGTTTGTGTAATGACTGCATAAATACAAAAAGGACTTCACCCAACTCAGCCGGCAGCTTTTTCCGAACTTTCCTGCCGCCTATTGAGTCTTAGTTGTTCGTTTTACCTCTATAATTTAAGAAATGACCACGCAAATCGAATACATAAAAGACTAATCAGCTAACGTGAAAAACACTTTGTAATCGATGATAAAGGACAAATGAATTGAACTGAATGGACACAACTAAACTGGAATAAGTGGTATCAGATCAATACTAAATTTAAGAGTCTTTGTAATTGATTTTAAAAACAAAAAAGGCACTTAGAATCACCAGCACTTGCATTAGAATAGAAATGACATTGGTAATAGAATATCCAACAATGGTATTGTAGTGAAACAAATCCAGGAATGCATGAGACTTGTCTCATTTGCACTATAGTGAAATGAGTAAAAACTATTCAGTGTCAATTAGTCAGCGTGTCTCAAATATTTATAGATGAGTATAATAATAGAATAGGATCAACAGATAGACAACCAAACAAAGGGATATTAGGATTCACATGTAGAGTATTCGAACTGATCACACAACTGAGCACAAGTTAACCATTAAAACTGAACTAATGCATTTGACAGTCACAAGCTTAGCTAGATGTCGTATTCCCAAATGAGCGTACGACTACATCCATTTAGCATGTCTGTATTAAGTACCATAGACACAGGAGGCGCTCTATAAAAACAAACCCGAAAGCCAATTAGGGTTTAGACTTAACAATGTGTGTTCATGAAATCTGACTCTTGGTAGGTTTTCGAACATAGGTATGAATAACAGCGTCCAACCGCAGTCACAAATTGTCCGGAGGTTGCGTTTGAACACAAATGGTTAAGTTAAAAGCTCACGGCAAATTGTCTTCGGAGGTGGTGACTTTAAGAAGTGTTTGTTAGGGTTGTCTACTTTCCCCATATACACCAAATATAATCCTAAGCCCACCCCTAAGACAGATAGACACTACCAAAATCGAGCCGGAGACAGATATCCATAGGCTCAAGTTACCACAACTGACACGCTCTTAAGCATAACGTGCTACCTAAGTTTCCAGATATTGATCTTCCATCTACAGACTACTCATCCTAAAGTGCTTCGATGTCCTAGTTTTGTCGTGCGAAGATATTGATAAGATGCGTTCCTCTGAACTCCTTAAACAACAATTTCTGGATGAATTTCGTCCTTCGAAAGCAATTCGTAATCTGATCGTTGTAAGCGGAGCTGTTGAATGCATCGACCTCACTTACGTTAGGAGCCCCGCCAGCTCTGATGACTGACAAAATGACGATACAGACGCAAACAGTTCGATGGGCTTTCCCGATCACCCTACCCATGATACATAGGTTGATGTGGCCATGAATTGTCAACTTAAGTGGTTGTAAACGGAATACACCCATTAAGACATTAAATAAGAAAGATCAGTTCAGCGAAGAGTTCTCTCTTCGGAGAATTCATTTCCAAAGCTGTACAATAACAAATATACATACTTAATTTTATAGGATGATAATAAAACTGATAATAAAATTGTTAGACATGGTGATAGTGAGGTTATCATGCTGAGCCATCCTTTCGCAACGATAATTTTCCTATCTATCTTTTGATGAATACTCAAGCCATTAACAATGAAACGATTAGTTAACCTTCCTTGTTTTAAATTGTTTTTTTCTAATACCTTTGTTTATTTAACCTCACTGTCACCATGTCTAACAGAAGTTTATTATCAGTATTATTATCATCCTGTAGAAATAAGTACACATATTTGCGACTGTATAGCTTTGAAAATGAATTCGCCTAAAAGAGAACTCTTCGCTGAACTAATCTTTCTTATTTAAGTGGTTGTGACAAGTTTGTGTATAATCACTCGCTGCTTACCTTGACACGCAATTAGCCAGCGGGTACGTTAGACGAAAGCTCGGAGAGATCAAACCAAGAGAAGGTACTAGTCGATGAAGCTAATGACTATGAGACTGATGGGCTATACGCAAGAATGATCATTGGTTGAAAATCCTGGCCGATATTGCTTAAAATCGGCCACGGTGTGAGAGATATCTTCACCTAACTTCAATATTCTTCCTGTCCCACCTTATAACCAGGATCTGTATATTCAGCCTTTTTGATAGCCATAGAAAATACTGCTACTTTGACTGCTTTGTTAATCCAATCTCCCTGTAACTAATATATGCGTCAGGTCCTACGTTGCTTAGGTATCATATCGTCAGAGCGTAAAAACCGTAACTCTGCTAATACTTCACACTTAGTTGGTAAGGCTCAAAACATAGTACGCCAAATCGTACTGATCATTTAGCTACACGCCTGGGAATCCATTCACAATAATTACTTCAGACGCAATTCAAGGGGATGAAACTGAAACAAAATACCCACAACTCCCACTAGTCACTTAGTGTTGTTCACTAAACAAAGAGCTTCATTTTAAGCTGTAATGTTTGTGTCCTATTTCGATTAAAAGAACTGTATAACATAGCTGACCCACATATGATAGGCGTATTAAAGTAAAACACGAAGGATGGGAAGGAAATAAGTTAAATAGACTAGTCATCCCCAGTGGATAATCTACTTCTAAGATATTGTTCGGAAGGCGTCTAAAGAGTAAGTATTTTCATAGAATAAACTTAGGAATTGTTAGTCTGTGTCGTATACGTTAGAGAACGTAGTGGTTTGGGTTAAAACGCGGAAGATCTTAACCAATATTGCTGGTCCATTTACACTGCCTAGTTACAAACTGATAGTTTCATAAGTTTAATGAACTATATAGGTTGTTTTATGCGTTCTTTCAGTCGAAAGGCGTCAAAATTAACCAACATACTCTAACTAGGGCCTACATGGTCGATTGTACTCCAGACCGTTGTGCACTGTGCTGTTTCGCGATTCCACGACGTGTGTAGGATAAATCAGTAGACGGTTGTTATAAACTTAATTATGAAAAGCCCATTAACTAGAGTTATACTGTTATTATGTGTACTGAATGCAACAACCGGAAAAAGATGGTTGTTAAGGTATTTCTTCGTCACTTCGGTAAAGCATAAGTATAAACCTGAAAAGGTCTAAACTAGTCATACAACCCAAGTCAACAGTGTGGTTCTGCACCAAACACAATTAGCCCGTTCAGGTTAATATTTAGTTACACAGGGTGGGGAAATAGCGTCATCAAGCAATAAGTCAACCGTCGTTAGCTATCTCCCAACTGATGACTTATATCCTAATCAGTATACTGAACGCATTTGAGAGAGTAGACCGAGTTGGAAAAACCAAACGCCAGGGTTCTTTCTTTCTATGTAGGACCCAAAATATAATTAGTAGAACGAAAAGGCTTAACCGCTTTACTTATTGTAGTAAAACTTTTTGAAGTGGCAATACGTATTATTTTCTACACACGATCTGAGGAAAACATTCTGTAGGGGGATTTTTCAGCCCTACCTTTACTCAACGTCACATCACTTGTGTACCGCAAGTTACACAAATCTATACTTAAATGACCAAATATACAACGCAATCGGATTCAAAACACGGAAGACATTAAGCAGCACTATTAAGCAAATGTCAGCAAACCTCGATGTTACTCTAAATCATATACAGTGCTTGAATAGCTGCGAAAAATATGCAATGTAACTAGCTCACGTACATCTAGCAGATATATTCAGCACAACCACTGTCTTGGTGCGTAAGCAATTAAAGCAAGTATACGACCAAAAAAGAAAGAAACCTTGACATAACGATGTCAAGACTAAGATTCGATGAAACCAATCAACTAGTCAGCAGGATAGTGAAAAGAGGAGAGTAAGTTAACATATAACCATGTGTATTTCAATTATTTACTTCATTCTCATACTCTTGACAATAGTCATCAACTCTTCCCTTTTCTTTTTAGCTCTTCTATGTCCACCAATGCGACGCTTAGCAAATTTGAGTGCTCTTTTTTCCTTATCGTTTTTCAACAACTCAAGCATACGCTTCTCAAATGGAGCAAAGCCTACTACCTCACGTATTAGACTTCGTGCAAACTTTGCTTGTTTAGTTAATCGCTAAACAGTAATTGTAGCTTGAAAATCAACTTACCCCTCTTCTATTTGAAGGCTTTTTAGGACGAATATTTTTTGTTTTCTTGAAACCCTTCTCTCGACCAACGCAGACAGAATACTTCCTGATGTTGCTCATTATCACGCAGCCCTTGTGACCTAGACCACTCAAATGCCGCCAGGCACTTGGCAGGTTAGGAGAACAAATTTAGTTTCAGTCCTCAGTTATGAAGATAGTAGGTAGTTCGAATTATGTCAATTCTTGAGGCCTATTTTCCAGTCTAGATCCAAGTTCTTCTTGAAAGTGTTCATTGATAGGCTTGATAACAATTGTTCGGGTAGGTTGTTCTAGACGTTGACCGATCAGCGAGAAAAATAGAATATTACTCTAAGTTTATCTGACCATGGTTTTACTGTAGCCTCGGAAGTGACTATAATTTAAGGTGGCGACGAAATAAGACATGTCGGCACTCAGATCACCATATAAGATACAGAACCCCAAGGCACCATCTTAGGCCCTCTGTTCTTCCTTCTCTACGTTAATGAGTTACCACTGTTACTTAGGTCGTCGACATTATTGTTTGCAGATGATGTAAAAATCTGGAGAACAATAAAAAGTGCGGCTGATCATGTGGATCTTCAAGCTGACTTAGACGATTTAGTTAGATGGGCTCGAGAGTGGGGCTTAGAAATCAACGCTAGGAAGAGTGTACTAATGCACGTCGGTCACGGTAATAGTTACCGTTACACTATTGAGGGTAAACCTCTTCCATGCGTTCAAGAGCATAAGGACTTAGGAGTAATATTAAGTCATGACTTAAAAACAACTGCGCATTGCAAAGCAGCCGCTGTCAAAGGTTTTCGTGCGTTATGGTCACTTCGCCGAGCGTTCATATCTTTTGACGAGGAAACGTTTCGAATTTTATATCCCATATATGTTAGACCACATTTAGAGTACTGTATCCAAGCAGCTAGCCCGTGTCTAGTAAAGGATACTAACTCCCTTGAGCGTGTCCAGCGTGTGGGAACGAAATTAGTGAAGGGTCTTTCTAGACTCCCTTACGATGAGCGCTTAAAACGCCTAAATCTTTTCCCCTTGTCGTATCGTAGGACACGAGGTGACCTTATACTGGCATTTCGTATCTTTAATTATGATTTGGGTGTTAATATGTCTTATCTTTTTGCTCCCTCCAGCACTAATAATCTCCGAGGTCATAGCAAGAAGGTTCATAAACCACGATCTAATAAACTTAAAGTGGGATCCCGTTTTTCTCATCGAGTAGTCAATCATTGGAACGCCTTACCCGAACAAGTGGTATCAGCCCCATCAGTGAATACTTTCAAGGAAAAGCTGGACCTTCACTGGAAAGCAATGTGTCAGGATTAACACAGGTTCATCAACCTACTATCCTTATTACTGAAGACTGACTGAAGACTGAAGACATGTCCACCCCTCTTTGTACGATAACATAAGGGGAAAACATTCGAAAATGCCTATCCGTAACTTAATCTTTAAACAGTAAACGTGCTCGAATAGGATGGTGAAACTAGCTGACTGGATGTAATACTCTGAGGCATCACGCCCGAAATACTTATTCATCAAAGCACTTGAATCCTCAACGAAGTGAGCACATTACTTAAAACTCTTTGGCAGGTGCTACATCTCAACAAGTCTCGGTTTCAAAGTAAAATGCAAAGCGACCACTTTTTACTAATGGGAATAGGTAATGAATATTGATAACAAAATCACAACGGTGTACATAGACAAACTGCAACAATGAAGGTTCATGTTCTGAGTTAACATAAATGGGCTTCGCAATGTACCTTGTAAATTCGCATCGAATAATAGTTGATAGTAGGCTTCCATCGAAAATTCCATCTAAAGCTACAAGATCTATTTAGGTGGTATGCGGCTTGTTGAAGTCCACAATGGTGTGACAGCAATCAGCTTCACGCCATGTGCAGAAATGAAATGAGACAAAGTCAACAGCGAGACAATGTGGACTCGAAATAGCCACCGTCCCATGTCTCGATTGGATTGTACAGTCCTTTATATACCACAATTTTGCACCTTTGATGTACTTGATCACAATAATAAATATGTCTGCCAGAGAAGATGCATGCTATTTTACAGGCATGATCTACAAACTACAACATTAGTTTGCTTACAGTATGTTTCCCAATAAAAGTAAATAACAGTACATTCGCTCAGATATCTTAGAGCGCTATTGATTAGGTTTGTGCTTTAGTATTACACTTAGTACAGTCTTTAAAATAATTTCCAAAGTGACATCGCGTCCACGTAAACACCAGATCCAATCTCGGCATGATTGTAGTCGAATTATGGTCGTGCTAAGTATTTATGCATAAAACGTTTTGAGTTTATAGTCGTTATAAAATAGGTTTTTAGAGCGCCTAGTGTGAAATATGACCCTGAGAAAACGTCGAGTTCGTTCCAGGCGTCTGAAGTTCCACAGCTGTACTCTCAGAGCCAGATTCTGAAAAAATAGAAACAAGGGAGCAAGAAGAAACTTGGAAATGGAAGTCAGACGGTGCTTAACATTCTGTAGTTGAACCGATAGAGGTATGGAAAATTAGTAGATTCAACTCATACTAGCTCTTGTAATTAGAGACTCTAGATGAGAGAATGAAGTAATAAAGAACAAAAAGTTATGATATTTAACAAGGTTCGAATGATTGAAAGAAATTCGAAGTCAGAATAAAGAACACTGTTTATTAGAACGAAAGGCGTATCAAGAGAGTAAAGTGTTAAGAAAACCAAAACTATACCTTTTATTGTCTGACTTTATAGTTTTTTTTATCCTATGCCAGCCACACAGTCCTAGAGCAAATGTCAAAGTTAGCTTGTTATAGGTTGTCTTAATAGAATAGCTAATCCAGCATAAAATTGGAGTTATGAGTCTGAATCGTTAGCGTAGGAGAACAATCTCAATATCACAGATTGATTAACCTGTTCCTAATCATTAAGAGCCTGATACAAATAAATTGCTATGCCCCACAAACATGGATAGATTGAAGTCATCGCCCTCACCATCGACGCTTGCTTGTCAGTAACTCCACACTCCCTCATTTTGCGATGTTGGGCTCATTTAAGCTCATCTTCAGATGAATTTTATACCTCACATCATGCTCTGTGTTTCACATACTGTTGTAAAACACTATTTCTATAAGTATCGTAAATATGAGTAAGCCATCAATGCAATGCTTTAATTTACTGTAGTATAAAGTATAGGTTGTCAGTCTAAGTAAAGACATTAAGAAGGATAGTTGTTCACCAAAGTATGCGAAAAAGTATAGGAGTACATGAGTTATAGGTAAGGTAACGAGTGGTGAAATAAAATTAATGGTAAGTCAACATAGTGTACATGAGAGCAGAGAGTTGATGAAGAGTAGACAAGAAGGAACTCCCATTGCCTTCGTGCTGATGTTGTCTTGTGCTATCTTAACCGGTCGACGGGTTACAGGCTCCATCAATGCTAGAACACTGGTAGTAGGCAGTCGATCGTGCGGTTCTTCTGACCTTTTAGGGTAGTAGTGAGCGTCCCTTAGCTACCGAGTTTACCTGAGCAGTATGGATAGGTTCAGTGAGTTACCTGCCTACTTCAAGTAAAAAATTAAGGAAGGAAAATTATCTAATACAACTGCGAAGTAGAAAAGTAAGGCAAGTTGAACTCAGGGTCTAATTTAATCTATACATGCAGAGAGTGTATGACATCTGAATGTGACGCAGATGTATTCAATCATCTTAGATCAGTGCAAACCAAAGCCTGATCAAGAAGTCTTACAAACGTATATAATTCATCTGCCATGCGTACGTCAGAAGGATGTATGTTTCGTATTAATGCATACTTGATGAGGAAGTCGTTTGTCCGAGATTTTAATCTGTATTTCTCAACTTTGACTGTGGATGCTTTGTCTCGAAGGTCGTATTCATGTGAGTCTAGAGAAGTACTATATTCCATGTGGAGTAAGTAAGGTTTTTGAAGAGTTTGAAGTAGAGAATCAAATTGAACTTAAGCCTTCTTTTCCGAAAGGGTTCTGGTCCCAGGATATGGCATCGGAAACTGGGGCCAAAGAGTGAGTCGGTCTTGAGTATTTTACACATTTAATCTCGTTTTATTCCTTCCATCTCAAGTATATCGGATAGGCGTAAGTTGGAAAATGAGAACGAACATTATTCAACGATAGGTCTCACAGCTATCTTGTAAGGAATAATGTAAGTAATGTATTTCCAGGTCACTTACTGATGTGAGTTTGTGCAGTTCGTTCTTGTTAAGTGTTAGTTTTATTTTAAGAGTCCTTTCTCCAATACATAGCCAGTCGCATTTCTCTGTATTGGGCTACAAACTCCAGCGCTTGTATCAGTTTTCTACTTTGTTAAGTCCATGTTGGGTTGTTTGCATAGTACTACGTAAATAGCAAATGTTAGTAAATAGATGACTTTTAAGTCATCAGCGTAAAGGCAGGTCTTACCTGTGTTAAAGCACTTGTATATACTGTTGATTTAGATTATAAAAAGTAATGGGCTCAAGACATTACCCTTCACAACGCCACTGGATATTGATCGAGGTGTAGATGTCATAATGTCAATTTCATTTATTCAGTATCCATTTGTGAGAAGAGACTTGATCCACTGCAATAGGGGGTTTGCTATTCTAATTGACTAACTTCTGTTGATTAGAAGGTTATGAGGTATTTTATCATAAGCTTTCTTAATATCGAAATGTAGTATAAACACTAATTTCTTCTGGTCACACATTAGACTAACCTCGTTAAAAAGTCTGTCAATCATGTACTACATGACCTTCTCTTATGAAGCCGAGTTGCGACGGGTCTATTATATCTTCCTCAAGTAGGTGATCGGGTAGTTGATTTTGTACCATATTTTCCATTATGCGTGATATAACCGGAATAATATTTATAGGTCTGTAATTTTCAACCAGGTTATACATGGGAAAGTGATTCCTAACAAACGATATTATGCCCCCCCTACTTAGATTTATAACCCGAAGACTTCTTATACAGATGTTTCGTATAATACTTGTGGAACAAGCCATGTTTATATGACGGCATTGATATCGTGACTTAATTCTTTTTTTTCCACTTTGCTTTCGAATTCTTAACTCTGTAAGAGAATTGTTCCACTTCATTCGATTTTGAAGTAACCAGTCTGGCAGGATTCGAATATTCTGGTGAAGAAGGTTTTTATGCGTTATTCAGTATGGTGTCCTTGTTTTCTCTACTTCCGAAA